ATTGTGTTCTGAAGGAGACAAACTTATATTTTTATTACACCACCAAATTATTGAAGTGATTTTCTGTTTTTAACTGTTTACAATATTTATGTTAATTCAATCCGCCGAAAGTATGGAAACCCAGTGAGGATCGAATTCATCTACTCAGTCGTAATATGTTCTAAGACAACATTTATATTTAACCATTACATTTGAGGTTTTTTCTCTAAAATTCTTTATCTATTGTCTTATATATATATATATATATATATATATATATATATATATATATATATATATATATATAAATAAATATGTCAAATTAAATTGTGTGTGTGTTTCAATTTGTGTGGAATTTGAAAAAAATGATCGTAAAATTGATTATTATTAAATCGAGGGGAACACTGAAGATGTAAGAACTTCTAGAACATTTGTAAATTGTAAAATTTCTGGCGTCCACCGTGTCTAGACTCACATCTTAACCGATCTCATTCAGTTTCCCAACATTTTGTTTATTTTCTTGTTTTTAGGTATCCCACGTCGTAACAATAGAAGCTCCACAAAGGGAAAATGGTTCAAGAACCTGACCTGGACGTAAATATACCTGGACGTTTTAGTTTTTTTTTAGATTCAGAAATCAGTACACTTTCTATACACTTTCCCCTCATTAAATTATTTTTTCTTTTAATTAAACGAACCTTTTTAAAAATCGAAATTATGGTCAGATTCCTTACAATGAACAACTAATGCAGAATGCGTTGTTTGTTAAAATATAATTTATCTGTTCATATAAATTTTTATTCAACAAGAATGTAGTTCATATCCTATGTTTTTTTTTGGAGAATTAATTAAGGTTGTAGATTAAATTACTGTTTTAAGTTTTACATTGTTATATTGTTTTGTATTAATTCTTTTATTGTTTTAATAGAAACTAATTTTATGTTAAAATTCTCCTTGCTGCATAATTATGACTAACGTTCACATCTTCCCCTCTTCTACATATATATATATATAATTCCATCAATAAGAACAATTTTTTATTTGATGAAGTCCTTTTAGAGGGTTGAACGCGTTTGGATAGACATTTTCAACTTTCTCGTTCATTTTTTTATATAATTCGAGCAACAAACAATTATCGATAAAATGTTCTTGAAGAATCGAAAACGAAAAAAAGATGATTCTGTTTTTCTTTTCTTGAAGCTCCTTCTGTTTCAGAAAAAAAGAAAAAAAAAACACCAAAATCTAACAACTTTTCTTTAATCTATTCCTGAATTTTCAAATAATCTCATCTTTCGTTTGTTTCAAATTTCAATTTCCTGAAATCTGAAGTATAAGACAAAAGCCCAACATTTTGTTTCAAAAAAACCTGACCGTCTGTCTTCAATACAAATGACAGTTTTAAAAGCGATAGAGATTTTCACTGTTATTATTTCTATGTCTGTAATGGTCTCTTTTATATCTTTTTAAAAATGGTCAAGAATTGAATACTGTATTAAATGGAAATGGATTTGATACGAAAGTCGCCATTCTCCTTTAAGAAACATATCCATTCACATTTGATAGAGTTAGTAGACTGCATCTCAAACGCGTCAGTGTGAAACACTGTCAGATTAGAAATAGGTGAATTATCAAATATGATTTTTGAATATGTCTATAGAGGGTCATATAAGAGCCAGAATTATTTTTACGTTTTATCTTAGAAATAAATAAAGAGGGAAAACATAGACATCTATTATGTAACCAAGAAATAGTTGGTTGATATTTGTGGTCATATTTGAATTAACCCCCCTCTGGTCATGGGACTGAATAATAATAATAATAATAATAATAATAAAAATAATAATAAAAACAGTTGTAGCATACCTGCGGACGATAATGGGTATGCCCCATTCATATAAATACCGTAGTAAATACTGTATATTTGGTTTGCAGCCGGAGATTCGTCTTATGCCAAATTTGGTCAAATTTCTGCCTCGGAGGATCCCCAGACATATAATTAAAATAAAGGGCAGATATTCGTATATTAATACATATAAAAGAATACCACGTTTTATAGGGGGTATGGGGAATATTTGTCGAGACTACGCGTGGGGGGGTTGGTAATATCAAAGTTGGAGATTAATTCTCCGATGTATATATTAAAACTTCTGCCTCTCAAATCTTTCAAGGATACCTAGAAGAGGCTATGTCGAATAAGGCTATCCGACGCCGTTTTATATTTGCTCTAATTTAAATTTTTTGGGGATCCTATTTTTCGGATAAACACATTAAATTCCGCCTATTGCAACATCTGACCGCGTGCAATTGAAAAATTATAATATCAATTTAAAGTTGGAGATTCATATTGGAATTCATTTTTAACTAATAGATTAAGACTACTAAATACGCGTTGCTGGCGTATCTTATATTGTTGTTCTTGAAAAAAAGTATTATCGTTCATTAACAAACTTCGTGTGATTATTCTATTCAGTAACCTTAACAAGGTTACAACAAAAATAATAATATTATTGGCAATTTTTGAATATAAACCCGGCACGACAGTGTTCAATATCTGCATAAAAAAAATCTGCATTGGAATTATGGGGAGGAAACTGAAAGAAATAAGTATGAACTCAGAAAGAAATGAGTACACACCAGAAATTAAAGGAAATAAAATAACAATAATAAATGCCATCTATGCCAAACAAGTTAAATAGAAAGCAAAACAACTTGACCAAATGAAATGACAAAAACTGAGAGGACAATGCACTGCATGGCAAATGCCTAAAAAGAACGAAAGAAGCTGATGTGATCCAACAGAAAACACATCAGTGGCTGAGGAGCATCGGGTTGGAAGCTGAGACAGAAGGCCTAATTATTGCAGCTCAGGACCAAAGCCTCACAACCAGATCCTATAACTGTCTCATAATGAAGGATTGAACTAACTCGAAATGCGGGATCTGCGGGAAAATATGATGGAACTATCAACCACATTATCTCAGGATGTCCGGAACTGGCCAAAAAATGAATATACCTACAGACATAATAAGATAGCGACAAATGTGCACTGGAAGATATGCAAGAAGCACAAAATCGAAACCACTGATGG